CGGTTAAGGCCGCAGAATCTTCCCTTTATGTGTTACCTCGGTTTATTTGTCGAATGCTTTTAGACGGGATTCGAGAAATTCCAACAGGCTTTGCTTGTTTGCACAGATTACTGCTTATTTTAATACGAGACGGCTAATTTAGCTGTGACAGCTGCATGCTGTGACCTGGCGTTTCAAAGGCAAGTCGTGGGATCTGCAGTGGCTGGATGTGCATATATATCTACACACGCACAATGCCTTATCAGTCCACCGCCGGGTGAAGGCCTCCGTCCGTAACCGCGTGGGTCGTAGGGGTCATTTATCTGACCGTACGTCACCACGGCTGACCGATGCAAGTGGGCGACAGCGGGGAGCATGGACGTGGATGTGAACAGGAACGAGGTGCGCTGGAGCCGTTTGACCGAAACTGCCGGTTCAAACCGGTGAACTCCTTGAACTCAAGTTTAAAGCTTGCAGACCCGAGAGGTTACACATTTTACGGCGTGACTCGCCCACGCCTAAAGCAAGGCACGAGGAGTCGGTGCACACGATGGTGGGGGCAATTTAAAATTTCCGTCATTTTGCTGTCCATTAGTCATCCGTTCTGTTCCAGTATAACCGGGCCCCTTTATTGTTTTACTATAAAGGCTGGATGGCATCCAACTTTGTGAATTTGCGAAGGAACACAACAAGTTACTAAGACTACGCGAGACTTCTGGGCATGCTGCTGGCTCACTCCACTTCAAACCTCCCCCTCCCTGTTCTTCCCCCTGGGGTCTCACAACCACGGGGTAGCTCGTGTGTCTGGAATTGACATTCGGATACAATTTTTTCCACTAAGCCGCTCCAGATAAAATAGAATGGGTAATGGTGGGGGGTGGCGGTGGTATGTATCTGTACGTATGTTGAACTTCTTTGGCACCATACGTAGTCAACCGTGCTAATCGGAGATGCAGGGGAAGGACAACGAACTAAAACACAATAAGAAATTGGCAAGAAATTAGTTTTTCGATCTGGATTTAAAAGTGCGTAGCTCCAGCAGCTTCGTAATGTCGGAAGGAAGAGCATTCCAGACGGCCGCAGAAGCGAATATGAAAGCGTGCTGATGTGGTGACCGCCTTTGTTCATTGGCCAAGCCAAAATCCGCTGTTGCGAGGATGACCGGAATTCACGTGATGATGGTTTATGGTGGTGGTCGTCAGAGGAGAAGGAAGATTTAAAAACAAAAAACCTTAGAGGAGATTGTAACCCTGAATGTCCTCTTCACCTGTGGAGGAAGTGATGTGTGGAATTCATCTTCTTGGTTTTTTCGGTAAAGTCACGTAGAAGGGAAATAATAAAATAATAAAAATAAAACATAATAAAATTATTCTCACGACGTTTCGACCACAACACAAGCAGCCGTCCTCAGGTGAAGAACAGGTCTGTCGAAATTTGATGTGTGGAACTTGGATTGGAGTGGACGCAAGTACGAGCACACGCGGGTGGGGGCCTGTGTGGGGCATGTGGGTTACGTGACCATACTTCAGCTCACGACAACAATCGATGTGGTATCTGAACCGGTCCTGTCCCTCCTCGCTCCTTTCACTCCCCTCCTCCCTCCCCACTGACCAGTGTTATGAATGACATGTAATGGGAGGGTTGTGGGCTTTATCCAGCAGTGGATTGGCAAAAGCCTGTGAAATAACTTTATTAGCCAGGCACAGGTGGCTCGCAGCTGAGATCCAGCACTTGGAGGCAAATGTTGGTGGACTGTGCCAAAGTTTCACATTCAGGAGATGGCATTGCATTTCTTCTCTCCCGAGTACTTCAGTCTCCTCAAAAGGATGCGGGACAGATATCCCAGGGCAGGCTTCTCCTGAAGGAGTATCGAGACCCATGGAGGAGTCTTTCCTGCAGCGATAAATAATTACTACTACTACTTGTATTATCTACCCAGGATTGTCGTTAGGTCTAATTCATGATGCGCACACTAGGATTCTAATTAGGCAGCTCCCCTCGCTCTTGGGTAACGATCGCCAGGATTGAATTGCACAGTTTCTCCATGAGCCATATTTGCCTGCCGGTGGCTGATGTATTTATATATAATATGTTAGACCAGGTGTTCTTCACTAGTTTTCACAGGGGTGGCCACTTTCGCCGATAAGACATCAGTTTGAGGTCCGCAACACCGCCTGCAAGGGGTGGCCCTTAGGCCTTGCAATGAAGAACACCTAAGTTAGGCCCTCAAGGACCGCCTGGCACCTTGCGTTCCGAGATCCTCTGGATCGGCACTGCTCTCCATCCCTAGACGTCGACTCGGAAGGGAACCGGGGGTCGTGACCTTCTCAGTGGCAATACCCGAGGACTCTGGCGGCTGAGATGCGTCACTATTCCACTTCGTAAGGGCTTCAGGCAACAACGAAATAGTTTTCTGTTTACCCATTGCCTTAGGCTTAAAGGTCGAATGTCTGGGAACTCAACATTGTTATGCTATAACTTATGTGTGGCGCTTCGAGAAATCGGGCGTCGTAAAAAGATGTAAATAATAAATGAATAATGTGTTCGTTCAATGATTCCGCGCCGAATCTGGAGACCGTTTTTGGGTGAGGTCTTGTCTAGGATGTGTGGGACAATCCCTCGTTGGGCATTTTTTGGCACGTGGGAAGAAACCAGCGTGGGAAGAGGACGAATAATTATATCCACGCGAGAGGCGCAGCAGTCAAAACGAACCGATGACGACCAACAGCAACGCACTTCGCACCTACGTGGCCGTGAACTTCGTGCGTCCGCCTGTGAGCGAGTCCGCCCATTGCGGCCCTTGCTTGAGCAATGTTTAAATCTCGATTTAAAGCTTTCGTGACTGCAGGGATTCATCTTCTTGCTTCTTTCGGTAAAGTAACGTAGAAGGGAAATAATAACAAGAAAATTCTCACGACGTTTCGGCCACAACACAAGCAGTCGACAGCTCTGCTCTTCACCTGAGGATGGCTGCTTGTGTTGTGGCCGAAACGTCATGAGAATTTTATTATGTTTTATTTTAAGTTTTTTTATTATTTCTCTTATACGTGACTTTACCGAAAGATCCAAGAATATGAATCCCTGCAGTCACGAAAGCTTCCAATCAAGGTTGTTATTATTATTCACGTACTTTGCGCCTCTTGAAACATTGCTGGGTGTTTTTATTTTTTTCTACCCCTGGGCTTAGGGGGAATGTTTTGAAATCTCGAGCTGTGGATGGAGCGCCACCTCGTGGCCACAAACAGCATCGCGGTTTGAGTGATCGCATCAAACCTCAGTCGGACACCGCTTGGCAGCGATAGATTATACTGGTAGGAACCTCCTGGTTACACCAGCCCACAAGGGATTATTGTGTCCGTCCGTCCGTCGTGCATCCAAAAATGGGAGGGGTGGGGCTGGGTGGAGAGGGGCGGGTGGGGAGGGGCTGGGTGGGGAGGGTGGGGAGGGTGGGGTGGGAGGGGTGGGGCTGGGTGGGGAGGGGCTGGTCACCCCGTGGTGCCCTTATAAAACTCAACGTTTAACCTACTCACGCCGGCTTGTGCCCGCCCTCACAGTCGGGCATATTTGCGGAATACACCACGCCGCCGTTGACCCTGGCCATTGACCGAGCAACCCAACGTTCCTACCAGCTCCCTCCGCAGGAATGTGTTAACCAGTTCAGCTTCAACATTTTAGCTACGTATCTTTTACGAGCTTATAACGGTTAAATTTCACGTCCAACAAATTTTTACAGCAAAGCATAAACTCGGCTGTACATTTTTGTGTAAAATTGTATCTTTCCAGCCCTTCTAAAACATTACAATATCCACCAATGAGTCGTACTGCTATACGTAATTTATTTCAACAGGTAAAGTAATATACATTACAATTATAATTCGTGTACAAGGGTATTTTGTTATAGTCCCGAGGATATGGTTATTAGCAAAGTCGTGTTCATTTACTCCCAACGCCTCGTACGTACGTACGTATGTTGAACTTCTTTCGCACCGTACCTAGCCAACCGTGCTAATAGGAGGTGCGGGGGGAGAAGGTATGGACTCGAAATGCGGCACTTCTTGGATACAGTCGATTGTCCTCAACGACAACGTCCAGTGCCCACCACCAGCCAAACACAACAAAAAAAACCTTACATTGTGTATGATGTTGTTTGCGAGAGCCGACGTGTTAAACTGACAGCTCTCTTGCTTTTCCTCTCCCCTCCTCCTTCTGACCCCTTCCCTTTTATCCTCTTCTCTCTCCCCCCTCTCCCATCTCCGCACGTTCCTTTCCTTCTAATCAACCCCCCCCCCCACTGCTCCCCTTCTAAGAGCCTCCAACGGAGCCCCCCCCCTACTCCCCAGTCTTGCCCCTTTCAAATATCCCCGCCGTCGCCCCCTTTCGAACCTTCCAACCAATCGCCCTTCACAGCTACCCTTGTGCAGTGGCGCCCCCTCGTGGCGATGATGGTGTTCACGATATCCGCGTCAACGCCCCCCCCTCCCGTGTCCTCCAAAGCAGAGGTCACAACCGGGTACCCGATACCCGTACCCTACCCGATACCCGGCTACCCGTACCCGGCCGGGTACGGGTACCCGTTTGCGACCCTGGTGCGGCCGGGTACAGGTACGGGTAGACCGTGAGTCACTGGTGAGTAACTGTTTGTCACTCATTTCCCAACGTCTTGTCTCTTCTCACAATTCAAGTTCCTAGAATCAACCCACCCGCGCCTGCAACATGGCTTCATCCCAGAGGTCGCAATCAGGTACCCGATACCCGTACCCTACCCGTACCCGGCCGGGTACCGGTAGGGTACGGGTACGGGTACCCGTTTGCGACCCTGGTGCGGCCGGGTACGGGTACGGGTAAGGAATCAAAACCCGTTTGCGACCTCTGCTCCAAAGACGCAATCCAAAGGATGTCTGACATCCTTCGACCTGCTACCTTGGCCCATGAACGACCTCTCAGCGCTGCTGCTGCTGCTGCTGCCGCTGCTGCTGCTACTGCTGCCGCTGCTGCTGCACGCTCCTCGTGTCTCCCACCAGGCGATGGACAGCACCATGCCGCTGATTGGCGAGCACCAGGACGAGGACCGGCAGCTGGTGACCGAGCTGGTGGCCACTCGCATGGACCTGCTGCTGCCCAAGCCCGAGGAGCTCGCCGCTCAGAAGGCGGCGCAGGCAAGGGTCCCTCAGTCCGCGGCCGCCGCTGTGCGTTGGCCTCCGTTTCAACTGTGCCGTGCGGTCAGGCCAAGGGAGTCTGCCGGGTCTCGGTGCCTGGGAACGTTTTCTCACGTCTCGATCTTGACCTTGACCTCTGGGGGTGTGGCCTTTGGGTGTCCGAGGACTTCAAGGACTTGGGTCATGTTTTCAAACTTACCCCCTTTCCCCCGTCGTGAAACTTTTCACGATTATAACTTTCTTAAAATGTCTAAATATTGACCGATTGCGATTTTTTTTTTCTGGACAGCATAAAAAAAAATTTCACCCGACATTTAATCGACAGGAGGATAATGGTTCGAAGTGTTTTGGAAGTTTTCATACTTCAACACAAACTTTGTTCACTCAAGGCTGGCTGATCAAGCAAGCCTTGAGAATCAGGCCATGATTGGACTTGTGGCCTTGACCTAAAAGGCTCCAGGCCTCACCTGTGGCGTAATCCTTGACCTTGTGGAGTCCCCAGCCTTCAATGCAAGACTGTAGTCGTGATGTCCTCCCTCTGACAGTCCACACTAACGATTGTCTTGCCCTCGTTGAAGTCCAGCCTCAAATTCCCACCTCTTTTTCCTTTTCACTGACGTTCTCCCCACGAAGTGCGTTCATTCTCAACGCTATCGTTGCTGTCATCTCGTCTGTCTCAAGACTGCATCTTGTGATACGCCCACATTGGATGGCATTTCCCATTCTGACCCGTCCTCTGAAAATCTAAAACTTGAGGAAATTCCGATCATTAAATGTCCTCTCACTCGTACAATCTCTTGAGATGCAATTACACGTAGATGCTCTTTATAAGTCTAAATTGCTTTGTCTAGGTTATGAATAATATATATCCCTGGTATTAACATGCTCTTCTGTTGGGATCCCCAAAATTGGGTTCTTAGTTTTTGACACGACCACGTGAACAAAAATATATAAAAAATACAATTTGGATGCACGGAGCGTACATGTACATTTGCAACCACGTCTTTAAGAATCCGATCCAAGTCCAGTTCTGCGTGGATCACACGGTGAATTTTGTTTTCAAAAGCAGGCACAATCACTTCACCAAATCCACACACGGCTTCGCCGCGCGTGCGCTTCTCCTCTGTCGAGCTTGTCATGTTTTTTATTTTATTTTGTCACCTTCTTAGGCAAGCGGAGCTCCGTGTCTTCCACCGCAGCAGGGATGTCTGCAGTATATTCTCGACTGCAATGGCAGCACGCCAGGTACTGTGCTCCGTGGTTGTGGCTGCAAGGAGTGGCCGTGCGAACGTGCGTCGCCTGTACAGGACGATACACTCACTCCGCTGGCACCTCCGCGGAACCCCGTAAACTGCCCCCATGTAAGCCCTGGACATCCCGAGACCACATTCGCAGCTGTCCCCTTGCAGCGGGAGTGAAATATCCCGTATCCACCATCCTATTTATACGCGTGCCCCTATTGTCGGCACCAGGGTTTGTTGCGACATAATTTATCACGTGATAGAGCGAAACTAAAACGATTTTTTTTTATTTCATGAAGGTTATCGCCATATCAGTTTCCCCGAAATGTGTAATTGTACATCGCACGTATCTTGTGATATTGTTTCGTTTTTGTGCCGCTCTCTAAGATTTCTGAATGTTCATCTCATGACACGGCACCAGTGGCACAGTTGGAATGAAATGTGGGGGAGGGAATAAATAAATAAACTGCGGAGTTATAAGACGACGCTTCCTCGTCGAAAATTCAACAATTTCTGTAACATCTTCATATTTCAAAACAAAGCATCGCTCCAGGTGGCCTGCTGCCTTTTCCTGCTCGTGCCTGAGAGCTCATCGCCAGCATTCCTCCGCCACTAAAATGTCACCTCCTCCCCTCTCCGCGTCGCTCACAGGCAGTCCCCAGCAGCCAGCACCGAGCTCAAGTGTCGCTCAGAAACAGCCGACGCCGACAGTTCCACAGCGCAGCGCGTCCACCGACAAGGCCCCCGCGGGTTCGTCTTCTTTCACGTTGAAGCCAAAACGGCAGGCCGAACAAGACTTAAATTTCGACTTAAAGCTTTCGTGACTGCAGGGATTCATCTTCTTGGTTCTTTCGGTAAAGTCACGTAGAATGGAAATAATAAAATAATTAAAATAAAACATAGAAACGTCGTGAGAATTATTTTATTATTATATTTTATTTTTATTCTTTTATTATTTCCATTCTACGTGACTTTACCGAAAGAACCAAGAAGACGAACAAGACTTGTCAAAAAAACGATCAGATGCACTTTGACACGTCATGGGCTTTCGCGACCGATATCGTCCACGATGAAGGGGGTTTTTTGGGGGGTTAGATCGTGTAAATATAAATGTGTTGTGAAACCCGCCACCGCCCGACATCATCCAATTAGAGAGCTTTGTCGCGTAAACAAAAATATGCCAATTAGTTACCGGTTCAGCACACCGGTGTGTTGCAGAGTAAACCCACAACATTTACAATTCAAGTACCGTGACGTTTTGCCGTCGATTACAACCAGCCCCATCAGGTGATAACCAGAATTGTGGAGAATTCCTCCCGTTCCGGTCTTAAATACAGCCACGGCTCTCCGGTGTGTCTTCGGATCGCACCGCGTGTTGGTTGACATTTCGTCCCACGTGCTGGAAGTTTCTTCAAATTCAGCCTTTGAAGAATCTCCCAGCGTGCGTGGGGTGAATCGCGCCGTACAGCGACGCAATGCGACCTGAAAAACGAGAGACCTACGGCACGGCGGTGGAAACCTACGCAGCAGCGAGTGCAGATAACCGCTCCATCACCCATGGGGAGGGTTATCCGGGTAGCAAGTTAACCGTGATTGCGAAAAATATGCAATCATGCATCTTTACACCTGCCGGTTTAATTGAGTAGCTGCTACTCGTAGAGGAGTTAGTGACTCGGTGCTCATGTGACCGCGATCGTGTCGGCAAACTAACCGATGGCTTATTCTTTGGGTCTGTCGGTGAAGTCACGGGGATAGGTTCAAAGAAAATAACAAAAAATTACAGAAAACTCTTTTTTTCGAACCTATCTACGTGACTTTACCGAAAGACCCAAGGAATATGAATTCCTGCAATCACGAAAGCTTTAAGTCAAGATTTAACCGATTACGCTGCAAAGCATTTTACGCCGATTCTGCATAGGTTACAAATGAATCCGAATATTTATTTATACTGCATGAGGAATCCGATGAGCAATGAAGCTCTTTTTCATAGATGCTCAGTAGGGGTGGGTCAGACCTTTACAAAACAATACATAAACTGATAGAAGTGCAAAGTATAGGAAAGGTAAGTCACTAAAATAATGTTTTTCTATCGCCTAACCTCCGCGTGTTTTGCATCATCCGTTTTTGTGCTTTTATCCGGGCCAGCCCTCGATCTCAATACCCCAGATAATCGAAAGTTGACAGTACGGCCCCATTGCGTTGTGCACAGGGAGTAGGCAGGTAACGACGTATCGATTCGTCTATTGACATCAACTCTTACCCTCAGGATGTATATGTGTGTGAAAGCTTATGCGTGGGAAACTAACACATGTGAATTATATGCAACAAAAATATATAATTAGGCAATGGAGCAAACGCAACTGTACATACGAGAAGGAAAAAAATAAGATGTGATACAAACTAGATGGTAACAATGGTTAGATGTTATGTCGCTATTTCATTATACCTGATGATGATTGCTTGTGTTGCAATCGAAACGTCGTATGCTATTATTTAATTTATTATTTTATCTTTATACGTGACTTTACCGAAAAAACCAAAGAATAATTCCTGGAGTCACGAAAGCTCCAAAATTAAGATAGATGGTAACAAGACAAATAATAATAATAAAACAATTAAAATTGTGACCTCGAGGGGAGTGAATCAATATACGCTGAAGGAGACATCCTAACTGCTTTGCGGTGCAGTTTCTGCCATGGTACCCACAGGTGCCTTATTGGCCACTGAGAAGGTTGTTATAGTTTGCAATGAAATTCCCAAATGTTAGACGTTACCCTGACAGTCTAGACAAGTCTCACATTGCTGACTGCTGCTGGATTATTATTATAATACATTTTTATTAGATTTTATTTCACTTGCTGTTTTGATTTGCTAAATTAATAGAGCTCATTTTTCCAGGCACAATTGCCTTTTGCTATTCCTCAAATTCTTGGAATATGAATTCAAGTTTAAAATAAAAAATCACTCAGCAGTGTCTCAGTCGAAACTTTCGTCTACAAAGTGCAGTTGGGTTTTTTTTGGGTTGACCAATGTTATGCATCAACAACACTGTGACCAAGAATTTTATAAAATTTAAAGAAAATGATGATGATGATGATAATGGTGATGTTGGTAATGTTCACCACTCTACCCCACCGATAGCCTCAAAAGACTCTTGGGGCAAGTGCAGTTTGCGAGGGGGTGGGTGGCCAGCACCACGCCCGGGCACTTTTATCTCGATATTTAAAGACCTCACCAACTACTCATTTGAGGCTCAGTCGATCTAGGGGAAGCTCAGGACCACTTAAAATAATCGTCACTGGTATTGGCCTTGGAATCGAAATTCGGGTCGCCGGGCTCCCACCGCATCACGCTAACCGCTGCGCCTCCGCTCCCCACTGACACACACTAAAACAACAACACCCTACAGCTCTGCAGCAGCAAAAGTCTGGTCCAGCAGCAGCCGCAGCGGCGGTGGCGGCGAGCGGAGGAGCCAAGCCAAAGTCATGGAGGAAACCCCCAGACCCAGCAACCGCGGCCCAGCGCTCCGGGACAGCCAGTGCCGCCCGACAGACAGGGGTCGTCAGGGGCCACCGGGAGCACGACGAAACACTCGCAGCAGCGGACGTCGTCGGCATCGTCGTCCTCTGCCAGCAGTCCCGCTGATGCCGCCGCCGCTGCAGCAGCAGCATCTGCAGCTGCCACCCCCGCTGCATCGACTAAGCCGGAGCAGAAGCCGCACCCGCAGCTCAAGTAGGTGCCCGGCCCCCTTTCTGTCGCGCTCACAAACATGGGAGCAGCTTCGGTCTCGCTTCGAGTCACCGTGGCTTTCGATCGCAGATTGGAAAGAAAAAAAAAACATCTCTTTGGAGCTGCCTTTTGTGTTGAGTTTGTTGTTATTTCCCCCGCACTTACGATTAGCACGGTTGGCTACGTACGGTGCGAAAGAAGTTCAACATACATACGCACGTACGTAGATTTTGTGGAATAATTTCCGAGTAAGCTTCACCGACGTCTGTTTTGCAGCGCGTCCTCGAAGCTCGATATGCCGCGTCCCGCACGTCGATTCGATCGATCGTTCCGTTTCTAGCCTTTCCTCGATCCGAGGGCTGGCCGTGTGATGGATTATCCTACACAAGTTTAACACGTAGGCCTTCGCGACCAATATTATTCATAATCAACGTTTTTGGGTTTAGATCGCGTTGTTTATAAATGTGTCTGGCGAATTGCCCGATGATGCTGGATGCAATTACCAGCGAAACGTCGTACTCAAATTGTAAATGTTGTGGTTTCCCGCTTCAACACACCGGTGGGCTAAAGCAGTGAACTATTTGTCTTTTGTCAACGTGACACTTTTTTTACTGATTGGCCGTGTCGGGTGTGGAGGGTTACGACACATTTATAAATAACGCGATCTAAACCCAAAAACGTTGAGTATCCTACACCAGTTTTTGCGTATTTTCCCACACTGAGTTTTAGGTTGACCTCAACGTCACTTTCCTGGCAGTCTCCGGGTTTCCTTATCTTTTTTTGCTTTTTTCCCCAATTCTTACCACGTCATGCTTGAATAGGTCACACCTGGGCTGGGATGCCGCCCTTCATATGCCCTACAAACAGTGTCCATTGAGCATCAAGCCAAATTGTTTATTTCTCAGAGCTGGAGTAAAACCAACTTCGGTGAGATTTTTACTTCATGATGATTGTTTTTTTCGTAGTAACCGGGCTCCACTTGAGGCTTTAATGACCGATGACGACCCGGATTCGAAAACAGGCTCCTCTACGGTGACGGCTCGCTGCTCCGACCCGCGAGCCAAATGCTGACCTGGCCACCACTTAGGCAGCCCCACGCTGAACCCAAAACACTCTTAATTCTGCTCGGTTATTAAAATAGCGACAGAGATGCACATAAAGAGTACACACACCCCGCTTGCTGTCCCCACTCGCTGGGGCAGCGAGAAAAATCTCCTCCCCCTAAATTCAGGAGCAGAGCGTTTGGGACTAAGGTCTGCGGAGTTTATGTACCAACCCCCCCTCACTCCCCCACGTCGCGGTTTGTGCTCTGTACGGGACTCCTACTGGAATATAATTAAACATATGCTTTAAATAGCAAACACAAGATGAACAATGGCATTGTCGCGACATTATCGTTGTCATCCACATTTCTTGTGTTGCCATTTTTGTCCAACCAAGACTTAGTCGACCAAGACGTAGTTGACCGATACGTAGTCGACCGAGACGTAGGTGACCGCTACATCGCAACCTTGCGTGTTTTTGTTTGTACGTCTCAGCGATTCGTTGGGCCAAACCAACCGCATCACTTTTTTACCCCCCGCCCGCCCCCCGCGTGTCCCCAACCAACAGCAAGTCGCGGTCGGTGTCGGGCACGATGGGCGGCGGGGACGGCGCCGGCAAGGCCGGTTCCGGCGAGGAGGAGGCCAAAGCCGAGACGATCCGGACGCTGCGCAAGTCGTTCGCAAGCCTCTTCTCCGACTAAGGCCCATGGTCGATGACGCGCGCTACGCGACACGCGAACTTGTCGCTGCGTCGCCGGCGCGGGTGGCTCGCTCGCATGACTCGCTGAATGTCTCAACATTCAAGCGAACTTCCACTTAAGTTTCCATCAGTTAACGGATATTGTCTTAGGTGTGAACCAGGTTTAAAGTAGGGCTCGGATATTCAATTGTTTCATAAACGGATCACTCTAATGATCAATTGCTTGACTGTATGGATAAGATGGAAATAGTTGGGGGGGGGGGAGGAAGTCTCATCTACGTTCCCACGTGTGCCGCTGGACGGGAGGTGATAGGCGAGACTTTAGTGACGTCATTGGCATCAACAGCTGCGTCACGCTGGGCGTGGCTTATGGGGGGTTTCCCTCCTTCAGGAAACAGAACGTGGGGGGCAGCCGCCATTTTTTCACGGGCTCAAGTGACTGACTGTGTAAATTAGTTGATTGCAATATTTAATTGGTTCATCGGCTAATCGTCCCAACTCTGGTTTAAAATCTCGTTCACGGTGTGGCTGGTTCTAAACTGAAAAAAAATACTCAACACGTTTGTCAATAATACTGCTTTTAAGGAGAAAAAACAGGCAATGTTTAGGGCAATGACCCCTCGTCCTAGCACATTAATAGAGCAGAACCATTTCCCAAAAACATCGACGAGTATATATATTTATTTTTAAGGCCAAAGTATCATTGACATACATGTTGAGTTGTTGTTGTTAACTGTGCGTTTGCACCACTGCCAACGCAGCAACAGCGTCACCAACATAATCTGGTTCTCGAATCAGTTCTGGAGCACAACGCGAGTCCGTTGAAGGTCGGCCTCTGCCCATATAATCGGCTAGCCCAAAGACACAACCAGATCACTTGCTTAAACGAATGCTGCCAGGATGCGTTAATCTGGAAGGCCTATCAACAGAATGGCAAAATATTCTGTTATACTGCAAATTACTTGGTGCACACTTAACATTTATTTTACAATTTACAGCTGAAGGCGAGGGTGGGTTTTTTTCTTTCAGTAGCAAACCGATGTTACTTCGAAGTAGGGCCTCAATTCACATGGAGCTGTCCGGGGCTGAGCTCTGATAAATATTTCTAGGGGTTAGGGGGTTAAGGGCCCCGGGGAGAATATTCCATGAGAAATGAAGCCCTGCTTTTAAGCGTTAAGTGTGAGTGAAGGACAAATCTGTGCTGGTCCTGCATAGGCCTCATCCCAGCTCTCGCCTCCTATTCATTTTCCGCCCTCTCAAACGTGACCACAAACCGTGGCTCAGACCGAGTGCATTTCGCTTAAATTAACTTAAAGCCACCGAAACGGTTCAATACACTTACTATTCAATGCTTTTCCGTCCAATAATCTCTCTCAGATATCGTATGGACTCGATGAAGCTAAAGGCATACGGCTACAATCAAGAGTTATGTGCAGATTGTGGTTTGCCTGTCGATTTATTTTCAAATAACATACTCGGTAACATCAGGACCCGAGTCTATACATGTTTGCTAAGTAGAAATAAGTAAACACGCGGCAATCGATAACCTGACATGCAGTTTCAGTTCGTTGCTACATAAATCCTAATTATATCGCATGCTAAGGGTATTATCCGCAATTGTGTGGAGGGTTACGGTATTTGATTTGCACGAGGTTTTGGTTATAGAATAATCTGCGTCATTTTAACATCATACTATTCCAATGAGACTGAATTCCGTGAGTTCAAATAAATAATGATTTAGAGGGGTCCAAACACTGAGTAGAATTCGATAGTCGGAGGCGTTATCCGGGGGTATTTTAACGTTGAGATTTCTGCTTGCAGTGCGTTTTTACGACAGCAGACATTGCAGACCGCCCCCCCCCCCCGCCACCCCACATGAGCAACTTGGACACGTTCGCTTTTAGAGCCCCTCCAGTTTGACAAAACCCTTCCCTGCCGCCAATGTCCACATCCCTCTTAGAAAACGGTTCCCCGAGCATGACGGACGTGTGAATGGTGCGGCGTGAAACAACAACAACAAAAAACCACCCCACTCGTTCTTTGCCGACCCGTTTATTTTGTGTGCAGCCTGAGCAATGCGAGTCGAGGAGGAGGGCGGACGTTTCATTCCCTCTGTGCCCCGCGCTTCTCCCTGCATGGGTCACATTCGTCGTGTTGGATCCACCACATCGGCTGCACGTGCGGTCGTCCTCGTTCCAGAGAGGGCGGGGGGAGCGGCAGAGATCAAGAGCATGTCATTTGGAAAATGTGCACGCCAATGGCAAACTCGGGTTGCCACGTGGCCCGGTTTTCCCAGGATCTCCTTTTTGAGATAGCTATTCTGGGTAACCTGTAAGTCTAAGTCAGTGCACAACAAAAGTAATAATATTCTTAGGTTTTTTCGGTAAAGTCACGTAGGTAAAAATTTTAAATTAATAAAAGTAGTATAAAATTTACTTGATACAGCAAGCGTGCTGTGACGGTTCCACCTGAAGACGGAAGCTTGTGTTGCCTCCGAAACGTCGTGATTTTTATTATTTTATTTTTATTTTATATTTTTATTTTATTTATTTTATTTTACTTTTATAAATTTTTATTTTTTACCTACGTGACTTTACCGAAAAAAACCTAAGAGTATGAATCCTTGCTGTCACGAAAGCTTCAAATCTAAAAGTAATAATAATAATAATACACCACTCTAGACAATTCGTACACACGTAGTTTTCGCCTCTTGCCAATATTGGTGAGATATTATTCTCCCCGCGTGATATGTCCAGGTGTTTGCGTTCCCCAAGAGGCAGGCAAACACCGACAGCTGCAGGCGCATTCCAATTTCTTCCAACTCGTGTTGTCGCTGTCGGGACGGAGCGGTGGTGCAGCGGTGCGGTTGCTCGCAGTGGCCGTAGCGCGGTCGGCATGAGGCCTCGGAACCAAATGGGGGCCCCTTTCCCACCCCCCCCCCTGCACTGACCTCTACGTCATTGACCTCTCCTCTCGCGATTTTCCTTCCCGTATTTTTCCGCATGAGCCAGCGCCGTCCCCTCCCAGCATCGTCGTCCCCAGTGGCAAGTCGCTTGCATGTCGGAGGTGCCCCGCTTTGCGCCCAGCCCTGCGTTCATCCCGCGCGTCGGGACGATGGCCTCGATCGAATCGGCCGACCTACGCCCCGGGGTGGCCACTCAACCTCGCTCGCTGTTTTGAACGAATCGACACCCACGCGCAAAGGTTAAGAATGATAAGTAGATGGAAAGTATTTATACTCCTGTGTGTCGTTTAAAAAAAATGGGGGTGGGGGGGGGGGTGTATGTGCAATCTGGGCTTGAATTTGATCGAATTTCAAGTAGCTTCGATTTGCATTTCACTTGTCGTCGTAAATCTCTATCGGCTGTCGGCGACCTTTCCGGGCAGTTGTTTTGGTTCGGCGGTATTTGTCTTCCTTAGGGGGGGGGGGGGCACACGTGAAGCCAGTTGTCTCGACCACTCCACGCAGGATGTGTTGAAGGAGAGCCCAGCGACACCTTCCGGGAGAGGCTTGGCTGTGAGTGAGTGCAGCGCGACCGGTTCAGGTGCTCAGCGCGGTCCCGCGAGGGATCTTTAGCACTTTCTCCGCTGGCAACCCGAGAACGAGGATGAGCACTGAGCGCAAAATCGGAACAGGAAAAGTTGTCTTCTCAAAACGCAAGTCAGTGTTTTTTAGAGGATGCAACCTGACCTGGGGAGTGGACAAAAGCGTTTAACAGATGATCTGTTTGGTTTTGATTGCTCGCTTTTAACGGGAGGCTCAATTCCAATCTTCTACAAGTCATCATTATCATCATATTATTACGAATGTATGGAAAGATGTGTGTTTTCGTCACCATCATCATATGCCACCACCATTATCATACTTTCACTCTTCACAATTTATTTCTCGCTTTAGGCCACGTTGCTATCTGGCCAGAGTTTCTCGTAAATATCTCTACACCATGATACTGCTGTTCACCACGGTGGCGAGATATTAACTCTCTCACCTGATATGCAGAGGACGTGGGTTCGACCCCGACCCTGATGCCTGTATATGTGGAGTTTGCATGCTCTCCCCGTGGTCACGTGGATTTTTCTCCAGGTCCTCCTGTTTTTCCCCTCGACGTTCAGAATCAACGTGTTTTGCTGATTCTAAACATGGAACACGCGTTAAGAGTGCATTATCCGCCTGCTGTTAATGTCCACGTGATAAACCACCTCGTTGAGCCATCATTTGTGATCGCCAGGTCGCTCAGTGGACATTACCTGGCAACATAAAAAAAGTTAATTGTTTTTCTTGGTTCTTTCGGTAAAGTTACGTAGAAGGGAAATAATAAAATAATATAAATAAAACATAATAAAATACAAGAACAAATACAAGAAAGGGGCTGTCGAAAAGACAACTCATTCAGACGCTGTCTTTCCGACAGCCCTGTTCTTCACCCGAGGACGGCTGCTTGCGTTGTGGCCGAAACGTCGTGAGAATTGTATTTTATTATGTTTTATTTTTATTATTTTATTATTTCCCTTCTACGTGACTTTACCAAAAGAACCAAGAAGATGAATCCCTGCAGTCACGAAAGCTTTAAATCGAAAAGTAATTGTTTGTAGTGTATAGATATATATCAATCGTTCCAGTTCTAACTCAACAACCGAGCGGAGCACAATGACGAGCCCCGCTGTGCACGTGACCACTCGACAATTGAGAATTTCTATCATCTCGGCACCGCGACGACGAAAACAAGTCGTTGGCATTGCACCGCACCCCGTGGGCCTGAACTCTTCCCTGCACTGCCGAGGCAAAGGCTTTCCCGTCGAAGGTGTCGTCGATGAGTCCATCGCTAATTGTGCTGCAAAAGAGCGCGCCCCTTTTTACTGACATCAGTTAGGGGGGGTTGTCGTTCCGACGGTCAGCCAACCTCTTTCATTTGCGAGTAAAGTCTGTAAGTTATTCGTGTTTTTTGCTGCTTGTTAAATTACCGAGAGGAGGAGGAGCAGAAGGAGGAGAAAACATTTGATTCAAATGTCCACCGTTTTTAATTCGGTGAATGTTTTCACGATATTCATGGTGGCGGTGGCGGAGGGCGAATAGTAAAATCCCGCGTTTGACGACGTGTGTTTAGTTTGCCGTGCGTTTCAAATGGACAGTCATTGCTTGCCGTCTCGTAAACGTGTGGGCTGCCAGTGTTTGTAAATGTGAAGTCGATGCGTTTGAACAACAACAAACAAAAAAAAAACATAATAAAAATGAAAGTGTCTGTGTTCGCTGAGTTTTTTCTTCCCGTTGTGAATAGTATTTCTGTTTAAAGTGTAACAGGTATTCAACGTCACGTGCGGGCTCTATTAATTCGTTTCAATTCTACGCAGAGCTGAGATTAAAACTTTCTTCTCCACTCTCATGCCACTTTTTTGAGGATCAGAATCACAAAATTTCTTTATCCCGGAGGAATCCGATTAGCTATAAAGCTCTTTTTCACATATGTCCAGTAGGGGCGGGTAAGAACGTTACAACAACAAGCAGTATAAAAAGCATGATAGTCGTGCAAAGTACAGGAAAAGTAAACAAGCCATGAATGCCACGTTTCCGCAACCATTAAATAAGTGCACCCAGCGACTCAGAAACAGCCCTGGGCCGTTGCTGCAGAGCTCAGATTTTGTCCAAACACTCCACAAAGCACACGGATCCATGTGCTCGACCCATCCCACTTCATCTTGCCTGCAAGCTTACCCTGCCCTGACCGAAGAAAGCCATTGCAAAAAAGCACATTCCTGCGGAGGGAGCTGGTAGGAACGTTGGGTTGCTCGGTCAATGGCCAGGGTCAACGGCGGCGTGGTGTATTCCGAGTTTTATAAGGGCACCACGGGGTGACCAGCCCCTCCCCACCCAGCCCCTCCCACCTCCCACCCAGCCCCTCCCCACCCTCCCCACCCAGCCCCTCTCCACCCAACCCCACCCTCCCCACCCAGCCCCTCCCCTCCCCACCCAGCCCCTCCCCACCCAGCCCCTCCCTGCACGATGCACGGACACAATAATCCCCTGTGGGCTGGTGGAACCAGTGGGTTCTTACCAGTAAAATGTTGTTTATAACAGGAATAGCTTTTATCGCAGACTTCGGCTAAGTTAGCCCAGGGGTCGTGCTACATGCGGCTCCAGCGCCGCATGCGGCTCTTTAAAGGCTGCTTCGTGAGGTTATTAAGCAACCATCGTCTCGTTTTCACATGCTTTGCGGCTCTTGGTATGTTGATATTTTTTTACCGAATTAAAAAAAATGTCTCGATGTTTTGGTTGCCGACCCCTGCGTTAGCCAATTCCCATAAAAAAATATCTTTATACGATTGTCTTTTTAAAAAAATGCAAACGTCCCTGGATCTGAGCCTATGTGACGGACGCAAACGACACCATATTGCCACGTGGCCCACATGACCCACGTGAAGGCACGCAGCTCGATTCTGAGAGGGCGCCATGCGGCCCGCTGAAGGGAGCAACCACGTGGCACCGAGTCGGCCCAATAAGGCTAAAACTATTTACACTAAATTTCGATTTAAAGCTTTCGTGACTGCAGGGATTCATCTTCTTGGTTCTTTCGGTAAAGTCACCGAAAGAACCAAGAAGATATTTACACTATATTAGTTTTTTAACCAGGTTAAGCCCACTGAGCTATGTAGCTCTTTTTCAGAAACCATCTGCCCACAAATGATAGTTCAACGAAGTGGCTTGTCACGTGGGAATTTATTGCGGCCAAATACTCAAAACGCACAGTGTTTCTAAATGTTTAGCGAACAACCAGAGGACCCGGAGAAAAATCCACGCAACCACGGGGAAAACGTGCGAACTCTAAATATAAAGGCTTCAGGGTCAGGATCGAACCCACGACCTCCTGTACACCAGCTGAGGCAGTTAACGTCTCGCCATCGTGCCACCCAAATTGAACAACAGGTTGAGCCCGCTTCTTGAACCGAGGTGGCGTGCTTCCGGTCACTGCGTCACCGCATCGCGTGCTTTCAGATGCGGTTTTGCGGCCGTCTGGAACGCTCCTTCGCAGCGGCGGCTTTTGACTAATTCTAGATTTGAAGCTTTCGTGACTGCAAAGATTCATACTCTTAGGTTTTTTCGGTACAGTTACGTAGGTAAAAAATAAAATTACAATTAATAAAATTAAAATTAAAATCACGACGTTTCAAGTAATACAGCAAGCGTGCTGTGACGGTTCCACCTGAAGACGGAAGCTTGTGTTGCCTCCGAAACGTCGTGATTTTTATTTTACTTTTATTAACTTTTGACTAGCCATCGAACAAAGACGATCACCACATCGCGTGCTTTCAGATGATTTTCTGCGGCCATCTGAAACGCTCTTCCGATTTTAGGAAGAACTTTTCAATCCAGATTGAAAACTAATTTCTAAACAACTGCTTTTTGTGTTTGTTGTCCTTCCCCCGCACCTCCGATTATCACGGCTGGTTACATACGGTGCGAAAGGAGTTCAAGAGACGCACATTCCCAATGTGTCGTGAAATCACAGCACAAGCCTTTCCGTCTTACTGAAGCGTCGAGTGAGCGGGCCAATTTGGTCAAAATGTATCACGGACGGATAGTCACTCACCATCCCTGCTGCATGTACGTGCGTACATATGTTGAACTTCTTTCACACCGCGCATAGCCAACCGTGCTAATCGGAGCTGCGGGCTACGCACAATGAGTCGACACTGCTCCCGGGAACACTTGCAGCGTCCACTGCAGAGGCAAAATGACGGCGTAGTCGCTTGCATAACGTGGCACAGCACCTAGAGTCACGCAGGAGGCACGCAAGGCATTTACTACAAGAAATGCGACGTCGCGGATTTGGATCTGGCCAAATTGTGTTTTGATTCGAGCGCCAATGCAACAACTGTGTTCGTGTAAACGTAACATTCAGCAGGGTTGTGATGTCCGTTGTTTATCTAATAAAGCATCGCCGAGTCCCAAGAATGCGTTCCAGGTGGCCTCCACGCTTGTTGTATAGTTTGAGTTTGCATGTTCTCTCTCTTCCCGTGGTGGCGTGGATTTTTCTCCGGGTCCTCCGGTTTTTCCCTCCACATTCACAAATATGCGTTCAGAATATTTGGCTGCTATACATTTGTGGCCAGGTCGCTTCTGAAAAAGAGTTCTACACCTCACCGGGTAGAATAAAAAAAAATTGTTAAGTTTAAAGGAGCAATCCACCGAGCACCTGCACTGATGTTGATTTCATCGCCACCAGCTCCTCGGCAGACGTCCTTTCAAAAACGATTTCCATTCCATGGCTATCCCCCCCCCCCCCCCCCATCATTATTCGTGAGCATTAGCCACCAATGACGACTATCATCCATTCTAGGGTGGGTATCACCATCTCATGAGCCACCAATCCCGCATTCAAGTCGCTTGTTCAACACGTATGGACATGAACAAATGTAGCGTTTGTAAGTATCGTACAGAAGAGATGCTCAAATGTGTGTGCAGTAATTCCCTCGTTATTCGCGAACTTGATCGCGGTGTTGGCTATCCGCGAATCGCATCTGGAACTCTACACGACTGCTACATCGAGAGAGAGAGAAAGAAAGTGCTGAGATGAAGTGCCAAAAGTGATGAGAGATAAAGTGATGAGAGAGAGTGTAATGCGAGAAAGTGATGACATCAAGTTATGAGAGAGAAAGTGATTAGATAAAGAGATGTGTTCTGATCATTGTCATGCATTTGATAGCCAAATTATGCATTTATTTAAGGTAACTTCTTTTTAAAAGGCCAATATCATTATCCGCAAAATTTTGCTATTTTACGAGCATCTCCGGAACGTATCCCGCGCGAATAACGAGTCAACCCTGTAAACATGTTTTCACAACTCGTCCATTGGTGATCGCTGGCGGCAGCCGCCGGCACGCGTTCGATGGAGGGCACGCGCGCGCACAACGCAAGCGCCGCGCGGTGATAATCGTTACGCGAAACCCCCACGTTGCAACACAACGTAGCGGGCTCATCTTCCCAAAGCCCGGCGCGTTAATATCGGAGCCGGGGGTGTACGGTGACGGATTTCACGAAACCCTCGGGAAAGTTACAAACAGCGCCATCGGTGTGGTTGCGACGATGCATGCGGTGCGGTGTGGTCGCGTACGGTGCAATCGAGTTGGGTTGAGTGGCTGGATGAGTAACCGGGCTGCGTGACCCTTGGCACATTTGGCTCATTGTGAACTCCCCGAGCCAGCCACAGCCACCCCCCCGCCCCCCTAGGATCGAGCGAAACAGTTTTTCGTGAGTTATTTATGAACACAACGTGCCCACCACCAGACACACCCTGTGTCTGCGTGAGTCTCGAACACCTTCCCCCACCCGGTGCTTGCGAACGCCAGCAACTAAAAAGTTGAATAGAAAATTGAGTGGGGGCTTGGGGAAGAGGTTAAAGTGGGGTTACGGGCAGGGTCGGTGGGAAAACCGGTACTAAGGTGGTGGATGTGATAGCTGGTAGTATATCGGTAAGTGCTTTGAATAGTAGTGGAATGGTGCGCTATTTGTTTTATGCCGTAAAAAGTTCATTGTTGTACCGTACTTATTAAATATTTTTTTTTTACCAGCTGAGGCCCACTGACCTATCTAGCTATTTTTCAGAAGCGACCTGGCTACCACAAATGATAGCTCGACGAAGTGTCAAATCGCGTGGAAATTCTAAATGTGGAGGGAGAAGCCGGAGGATTCGGAGAAAAATCCACGCGACTCCAGGAAGAACATACGAACTCTAAATATACACCAGGTGTCAGGATCGGGGTCAAACCCACGACCTCCTGCATACCAGGCGAGGTAATTAACATCTCACCGTGGCGTCACTGCCCCGGCTTTCACAAATCTGCACCGACCAGCGTGGTGAAGTATGGTCAAATGACCCCCACGACCTGTACGGCACGGGGATGTGCTCGTCAGAAGTGTATTTACAAAGGGCTGTACGTTTTGTTTCTATTACAGATAATTCCAGTTTGTTTCGATGTTCTGTGTTATCCATTTATTTATGTTTAAAGGTTCATATTTCTGTTATTTACAGTGTTATATTTAGAGTATGCTGTCATTCTTGATCATGGAGTAAAACAAATGCCATCAAATGTTTACGTGATCCATCATGCAGTCACACAGGTCCACCAAGGAAACTGGAAGAATAACTGCAAGGTCTGAAACATGGCTAATTGTAAACTTATGAGATAAATATAATTAGATAATAATGCAGTCCTTTTATCAATCCACTACTGGATGAAGAGGGCT